CTTAAGTGGAGAAGAAATATTTTGAGAATGATGAGGGCAATGAATGTGCTTTACACAATTGATGTATGTATGGATTGTGATAAAAGTTGTATGAGCCCCTAATAAAATGATTTTTTTAAATGAGGAGCTGATACCAAGGGTTCAAATAGAAAGAAAATGTTTTGAAAATGATGATGGCACAAATGTGTACACATGTGCTTGACACAATGGATATATGTATGGATTGTGATAAGAATTTTATGTGCCCCCAATAAAATGACTTAAAAAAAAAAGAAAATGATGATGACAACAAATGTACAAATGTGCTTGACACAGTGGATGGACGTATGGATAGTGATATGAGTTGTACGAGCCCCAACAAAATGATTTTTTTAAATAAATAAAATATTTTTATCTTAATATTCATAGGATTCCAGGCTTGTCAGTGCGAGGTAGGGGTAAGATAGTATGTTAGACAGGATTCTCTGGAGAAACAAAGCACTAATGATTTTATATATATTTATATATATCTAGATAGATAATATAAGAAATAAACAGTTAATTTATAAAGCAGTACAAATGGCTCAGTGCAACTCACTTCTGTGAGACAACTAATACACTGGCAGTCCTTTAAGTCTTGAGGGCCACCGGGTACAAGTCAAGGAAGCATACAGCTGAGTCCTTTGTAGAGCAAGTCAGGCTATCCGGCCACAGGCGCAAACAGCAAGGCAGGTCACCAACAGTCGGCCAGATGACAGAGTCTGACAGTCCCCAGCTCAAGCGATGTATATTCCAGTAGCGTGGCGAAGCAGATCTTGAAGGAACCTCAAATTACAGCGACACAGGCCACAGGTTAAGTGTCCCACAGGTAGTGTAGCTTGCAAATTGAGGTACAGAACAAGCAAGGCAGCAGCACACTGGTCCAATCATCAAAGAGCAAGAGACAAGAAAGGCAAGGCTCGCCAGCCATTTATCTCTCTGCCCTTCAATTAATCCCACATGTGTTCATTGGCCATGTTGGCACAATAAACTAACTACCTATCACAGATAGGAACTTTAGAATCATCTAATGTTCGATTAAAGGGTTTTTTCTGCCACCAATTCTGTCAGCAATTCCAGTTTCCATACATAAAAATGGAGATCATACCACAGAGGGCTCTTTTAAGAATTAAAAATATATATTCTAAAGTGCCTGGAACTAAATCTGGCACTTATGGGCAGAGGAAACCCTGGTTTCCTTTTTCTGCTTTTTCCTGTCTGGGGTAGATGGGAAGGTCACTGTGTGGTCACCTCTGACATTGCTTCCAGGCTGATGGGAATTGATGTTCAGTCATGACAAGTCAGCTGGGAAACAGAAGAGGAAATGGCATCTCTTCCTCAACTTCCGGTTCGGTCTCCGGGAGAAGAGGTCAGAGGCAGGGTCTGAGTAATGACATGGAGCCGAGCGCAGACCTCGCAAAAGAAAAGAATCTACCTCAAACCAACCCCAGGCAGGGGTCAGTTGCACCTCCAGCCTCCTTCTTCTTACCCTGTTCTAACTCCAACCATCCCTGTCAGGGCATTCTCGTTCTCTGCTGGGCTAGTGAATCCAGTGCCAGTCGTTGCACACAGAGCTCACAGGCAAGATTCAGAATTAGCAGATTTATTAAGAAAGGGAACAAGTTACAAAGTGATAAAGATCCCGTTCTTTTGTCAGCTGCACTTCTTCTCAGTCATGCTGCCAGGCATGTCTCCCTCTGGTCTTCAGTATTTTCAGCATGTGGTCTCTTGGCCTCTGTCTGATCCATGCACCAGGAAGCCTAGTGGTCTCATGGTCTCAGCACTGCTCCTCTGCTCGGCCTCGTCGTCTCGGTGCAGGTCCTCTACCCAATCTCACGATCTCGAGGCTTTGTCCTCTGGTGCCTCTGCGGCCTCTACCACATTAGACAGGGATTTCACACACACACACACACACACACACACACACACACACACACACACACACGCTCTGCTTGTGATTCTTTTTTTTCTTGATGGCCATGGAATTCTCTCTCTTCCTGCTTCTGAGATGGCTCCCTGCAGACCCATCAGGAGGGCACTCGCTCACAGCTGAATCAGAATCTTCCCCCATTTTCTCACTCAGACCCATCAGGGAACCAGGGTTGTTGGTAGGAAGAGCAAAGGCTCTGGGTAAAAGATCATAGTCAAACAATTCACCCATCAGGG